GGTGCAGGTGGAAGGGGAGGGGGAGGGGGATGGGAAAGGGGAAGGGGACGGGGATGGGGAGGGGAAAGAGAAAGGGCGGAGGGGAAAGGTGTGGAAAGGGGAGTGGTGGAGGGGGAAGAGGGGGAAATTGAACGGAACAGAAGGAAGGGCGAGGAAGAGAAAGGGGAGGAGGGGAGGAAGGGGGAGCTGAGGATGATGGCCAGGGGTAGCAGGTAGAGAGAAGAGGGCACGGAAAGCGATGGTGAGGGTGAGAACGTTATCATCTATGCCGGACAGTACTATTGGAGAAGTGCGGTGCAGCGCGTTGGAAGGAGCGTGCGGCCGTTCCGCAGCAAGAGTGTGCGGCAGTGCGAGGGCAGCTCGGCAGCAGGACGGGAGAGACTTTTGAGTCGGCTTGCGAGTCGTTTCGCAGCGAGAGTGTGCGATCAGGTGATGGGCGCACGGCAGCAGATACGGGAGAGACTTTTGAGTCCGCTCGCGAGTCGTTTCGCAGCGAGAGTGTGCGATCAGGTGATGGGCGCACGGCAGCAGATACGGGAGAGACTTTTGAGTCGGCTCGCGAGTCGTTTCGCAGCGAGAGTGTGCGATCAGGTGATGGGCGCACGGCAGCAGATACGGGAGAGACTTTTGAGTCCGCTCGCGAGTCGTTTCGCAGTGAGAGTGTGCGATCAGGTGATGGGCGCACGGCAGCAGATACGGGAGAGACTTTTGAGTCGGCTCGCGAGTCGTTTCGCAGCGAGAGTGTGCGATCAGGTGATGGGCGCACGGCAGCAGATACGGGAGAGACTTTTGAGTCCGCTCGCAAGTCGTTTCGCAGCGAGAGTGTGCGATCAGGTGATGGGCGCACGGCAGCAGATACGGGAGAGACTTTTGAGTCCGCTCGCAAGTCGTTTCGCAGCGAGAGTGTGCGATCAGGTGATGGGCGCACGGCAGCAGATACGGGAGAGACTTTTGAGTCGGCTCGCGAGTCGTTTCGCAGCGAGAGTGTGCGATCAGGTGATGGGCGCACGGCAGCAGATACGGGAGAGACTTTTGAGTCGGCTCGCGAGTCGTTTCGCAGCGAGAGTGTGCGATCAGGTGATGGGCGCACGGCAGCAGATACGGGAGAGACTTTTGAGTCTGCTCGCAAGTCGTTTCGCAGCGAGAGTGTGCGATCAGGTGATGGGCGCACGGCAGCAGATACGGGAGAGACTTTTGAGTCTGCTCGCAAGTCGTTTCGCAGCGAGAGTGTGCGATCAGGTGATGGGCGCACGGCAGCAGATACGGGAGAGGGGCGGGCAATTGCAAGCTTCTTTACCACCAAGCAGGGCGCTCTCAACGAGGGGCAAGGGGCTCTCAAGGCGGTGCTGGAGCAGGGGGGTGCGAGTGAGGGAGTTGTGAGGGGAGTTGTGAGGGGGTTGAAGGGGGTGGCAAAAGGAGAGGAGACGGGCAGTAGGCGTGACGAGAAAAGCGAGGAGGGGATTGATGGGGAGGTGTGCGAGGAGGGTAGTGAGGAGGAGCGGGAGGAAAAGCAAGATGAGGAGGAGGAAGATGATGGGGAGGAACAAGGCGAGGATAGCTTCTCGTTTGGCAAGGCCTCCACCATTCACTCACGCGAGTCTTCCTCTCCCCAACACCCACCACCATCCCTCCCTCCCTTCACCGTTTTCCCAAAATCCACCTCTTCCTCTCTCGCCTCTTCGACCAAAACTGCCCCCACGTCCCGCCCTCCGCCTTTCTCCCTGCACACCCAAAACGGTCGCATCGCTCCCCGGCCCTCCCCGCTAGGCTCGGCAGTGGCAGAAGGCCCGGACGGCCTGCCGGCCGAGGCTGTGCGGGAGGCTCGGCAGCGGCAGGTTCGGGAGGCGGCGCTGGTTCGGTGGGCGGCGGAAGTGAGTTTCCCGGGCGTGGAGGTGGGGTGGGCGCAGTGGAAGGCGGTGGGTGGGCTGCTGGAGAGGGAAAGCGCGTTGGCCCACAAGGCACTGCCTGTGATGTGGGGAAAGGCAGTCAAAGGGACGTTCAAGGTGAGACTTTCTTTTTGCAAAGGATTGTTCAAACAGGGCGTGGTTGGGTCACATCTCCACTCGGTCATCTCGGCCACCCCCCTCCGCTTCCTCCCTTCTCCCCCCTCTCTCCTCCTCTCAATAGATGCTAGAAGTGCTCTATTGAGGTCTGGAGGCAGCAGACCTTGCAGGCCACATTTGCCACGCTCACCTCTCCTGATCCCCCCCACATTCCTTCTTCTCCCTCTCCCTTCTCTCCATCGCACCCACCCTCCAGGCAGTGACGCCAGACGTTGCGATACCAGAGCAGCAGGTGTTGGAGGTGTTTGACTGGGGGTTGGAAGGGCCACCCACCACCTTTACCACCCTCACCTCGTTCCTTCCTCTCTTCCTCCCACCCCACAGGCAGTGACACCAGACGGGGCCATACCAGAGCAGCAGGTGCTGGAGGTGTTTGACTGGGGGCTGGAAGGGCTGCTCATCACCCTCACCTCGCCCGGCCCCATCTACCTCGACTCCACCCCCTGCGCCGCCTCGCCTTGCTCCCTCTCCTCCTCGCTTCTCCCCACATCTGCTTCCACCTCCTCTTCCTCCACATCCTCAGCATCCTTCTCCCGTTCCTCCTCCAACAAACAACCGCGTGGAGCCCTCTCTGCACCCACCACTACCACCACTACCTCCTCCTCCTCCTCCTCCTCCTCCTCCTCCTCCTCCTCCTCCTCCTCCTCCTCCTCCTCCTCCTCCTCCTCCTCCTCCTCCTCCTCCTCCTCCCCTTCCCCCCTCACCCCCTCCCTCCACCGCTCGCCCTCCTCCCTCGTCTCAGCCTGGGCCTGGATAGAGCGGCTCATCTCCACCGTCGATCCACGAGAGAAGGACATCGGGGATCTAATCCTGGCCGTTGCAGCGCGCATGGCGGCGCACATCTATTGGCGGTGGCCCAAGCGGAGGGACAATGCACGCTACATTGCCCGCTTGCTTCTCTATGCTCACAAGCGCTTTGGCTGGCAGCAGGGCGGGCAGCAGGGGCAGTGGGGCCAGTGGGGGCAGTGGGGGGGGCAGCAGGGGCAGCTGAGGATGCGGGCGGTGAGGGTGAGTGAGCGGCTGTGGGGGTGGAGCCTTCCTGATGCTGCTTCTGTCCGCGAACAGTGCGAGGTGAGGGTGGTGGGATGAGAGGTTTGGGATTAAGGAGAAGCGGTGTGGCAGTTTGCAGTTTTGTCTGCTTTGTTGTGGGTCGGAGTGAGTGCGTATGCGCGTGTGTGTATGCACATGGGTGTGTGCGTATGTGTGGATTTAATTTGTGAGCAAAGATATATGTGCAATCGTGTAAATGAGTAACCATCTCCTCGTTGTGGTGTGTCTTGTGAATCACTTGATTGGCAGACTGACGAAGAGGCTCAGGAGATTATGGACAGTGCAATGATTGCAACATGGACCGGCATTGCGGCATGATGCAGCCAACTGGAGCACAACAATCGTAACCTCATTATTTGATTTATGATACTCTGGTGTCATGATCTATCAAGGTCTTGTCCTGTCATTATTTGGGGAATCTACTTGTTCCCTTTTCTCATACAAGCATTATGTGCGTGCTATGCTTTTCAGTCTAATTTGCATTAGCATTGGGACTGTATGATATGTGTGCTCTTGTGTGGAAGCAACCATGTAATACTTACATTAATGGTTCCCAGAGTAATCAGTTTTGTCTTGTAGCTGTCCTGATTGAGTGTCTTTTATCTGTATGGAGCTTTACAATGTGGCTCCTACTTCTCTGCTAATTGGCTATATCTACAATAACCGATATGCATGTACACGCTTCCTCCTGAGTAATTTGACCGTTTCGACCAATTTCACGGCATGTTCGCCCTCCCCGAGCCGCAACGATCTCACAAATTCCAGCCATCCGAGTCGCACATTTTCCCACAGAAATTGGATGAGGAAGAGCTCTCTCAACCAAAGAGGCGGCAAGAATCAAGACCCAATTCATCTACATATGGTGGTTGGTTCTCACCGTTGTTCCAGCAGCATCTTCAAGGAAATACCGTAAAACGACACGTTTAGTGAGAACCAACTAAACGACACGTTTTAGTTGCCAAGTTTAGCTCGAGGTGGTTTCCAGACATGATGCTTGAGGTTCCTGTCATGGATAATACGGTTGGGAACTGCCTTCAGTCATCGCTGCGCTCAGTGGCTAGTAAACCAACAATCTCCCACTGCAACAGCACTGGTCCTTCGTTGGCGTACTGCAGATGAGATTGTTTATCGTGAGCTTTTTTTCTACGGAATCCGAGAGTCGCTAAATCAAGTGCGTATTTCTTAGGACAGTGCATGCTGTGAACGACGTTACACGCGATACAGACTGCACATCTTCTGCTTTATACTGATACAGCGCCATGACGCCTATTAGCCATTCCAAAATTCCCCGGCCACGAATCTGCAGCACACTCCCTCGCCTTTCCTTTCTCTTCCTCGGAACAGCTCTCTCGCTACTGACGCATCATGTCTCCCTTCTCTCCGCGCAATCGTCCACTGCCACCGCAACAACCCCTCGATACGACAGTAAGCGTTCGAAGCTGATACGAGGAGGCTTTTCCCGAATACCTCTCGTCGAGCCGGACAGCCATATCCACTCGTCCCGCTTCTATCCCCGGCTCCTCAAGTCGTCCTCTCAAGGCGATTCCACATTTTGGCCGGAAAGCAGCAGCGCATCAGCCGCAGACTTCTCCGCCGAAGCTTCCCCCACGCCGTACGTACTGGACACTCCGGACTTGCTCCCCGAAGCGGACCCGAGTTTCGACTCAGGCAATCCGTTCTTCACTCCCAAAAAGCCCGTGATTTTCTCCATGCCGGACCCAGACCCCGCTACCTTCGTCACGAATCCATCCGCGGTAGTGAGTGGCCCGACTGGGGTGAACGTGGATATCACAAGTGGCTCTTCGGGAAATGGCAACGGGATCCAACCTTCTTTCCCGCAGCCGGGTGCTGGTAACCAGGTAACCAGCAGCTTTCCCGCTCCGCGTCCCACTGGCACGATATTCAGCGTGCGGAGTTTTGGAGCCAAGGGAAACGGAGAGTCGGACGATTCCGATAGCTTTTTGGCCGCATTCGCAGCAGCGTGTAACGCGTCTCTTTCTGCAGATGACGGCACCGCCCCTCCAACGATGCTCGTTCCAAGTGGATACACCTTCTACCTCACGCCTATTCAGCTGGTCGGACCGTGCGGACCAGGAGGAGTGAACGTCCAGATCGACGGGAACATTACGGCGCCTGAGAAGCTCTCAAGATATCCGTCGGCATCCAGAAAGGGTATTTTCGCGTTTCTTCAGTTTGGGATGATCATGAACCTGACGGTGTTCGGCTCGGGGTTCATTGACGGGCAAGGAGAGTCGTTCTGGGATAAAGGGGGCGACCGACCGGTGCTGGTGTACGTTTACATGTGCAACGACACGAGCATTAGCGGCATCACCCTTCAGTAAGTCCCGCTGGTTCCCTGTCCTTCGCACAATTTACTTCCTCGTCTATTACACGCTCACGCTCAGCAGTACTATGCAATCTGACTCATGTCAATGGCTTGCCGTTTCACAGGAATGCACCATTTTTCCACCTGCAAGTTACTCGCTGCGTGGGAGTGAGGATATTTGACTTCAAGACAAATACCCCTGCAGAGAGCAGAAACACGGACGGGATTCATGTATCCGTGTCAACAAATGTTGATATACGTGACTGCATCCTGGCGGGTGGTAAGTGAATAAATCAATTCTGATCAATTAATGTCTTGTCAGTACATGTTGAATAAACCACACTATCATGAATATCATAACTTTATGTTCCAATGCAGGTGATGACAACATTGTTCTATGGGACGGCACGAGAGGAGTCAGCATCTCAAACATTACCGCCTTCAGCGGACATGGAATATCGTATGTCACTCGTACCCCAATGCTTACAGCCGTGTGTGGTCATGCAATTGTTGTATTTCAGTATCTTGGTGTTCCTCACTCTTCTCTAATTGCAATATGAGCAGAATTGGAGCACTTGGCAGTGGCAAGATATCGCCACTCTCCTGCGTTTCAGACGTGACAGTGAAGTCCGTCCGTTTTTTCAACACGAAGATAGGCCTACGCATCAAGACTTTCCAAGGCGGAACTGGTGCAGCGACTAACATTGCGTACGAGGACATCACAATGGAGGGCGTTCGGTACCCACTGGTTCTGGATCAGGTGAGTGAACGCCATGTTTGATCTGCCAATTCCAACTTTGCCTCTCTGTATTGAAACTGATTTCTGTGGCTGCTTCAACCTGCAGTTCTATAATGGAGGGAGCTTGCTTTCGCGAAGCTCAGCAAAGTCCAAGAACGTCGCTATCTCGGATGTTTCATTCTCGAACATCCAAGGCACAACCATTGGAGACGAAGGTGCTGTATTTCGTTGCAGCAAAACAGTGCCATGTACTAACGTGAGACTCAGCAACGTTGACATAACCGCACAAGGACCGCCGAGGCAACTGATTCCGATTTCAGATGACGTATATGGTAAGATAGGAGGGGATTCCTCCTTGGCAATGGAGATTGAAGGTAAAGCTGACTCCGACGAGCTCGAGAGGATACAGAAATTAGTGTCCGCTTGTGCCTCGCAGCCCCTCGTTTACTAACTGAGAAGGCGTTGTGGAATAGCTGCTGACAGCCGATAACATTTAGATTCCATAACCATAGCCAACAGCCGTAGTTTAATTCCTCTGATGCTTTTTCACTGACATGACAGGCGTGGTAAATAGTCCTCCGAAGCCTTAGATTTGTGCATAATGTACTTCCAGCAATCGCCCCGTCCAGTGTCGAGGCATAATAGGTCGAAACATATGGGACGCTTCATTTGAAGATATATTGTACAGCGTTAATCTTCCAAGTTATTCGACTACCAGTGCAGCAGATCCAAAACTCGCTGGACGGCGTCCTGGACATTTTTGCGATCTTCCTGCAGCTTGCTTTGAGTGGCAAGAGTATCAAGCTTAATTCGTTCGAGCTCTCTTCCGATGTCAATTCCTTCGTCATTGAGAGAGCTGAAAGAGTTCACGCACATGTTAATCGTCGACTTGGCACTGAGAATTTCGGGCGTTTGACATGACGCCAGATGGCACCTACTCTATGTCAGGCAGCAGACCTTCCATAGCGCTTTGCGTCTGATTCAGCAATTGCGAGATTAGATCCCGCGTGCTGTTGCCTATGCCGGTTTCTTGTGGAAGTTCTTCAGAGCTCTGGTCAACCATACCTTCCTCAGGACACTCAATGACAGTTTCCAAGACCATAGTGAATATCAAACCGATCAGAAGAGAATCGGGACGAAGGCAAATGTTGTTCAGAGTTTGCAGATGATGGAAATTTGTAGTCTCGGAAGTGCCACAAATGTCAATCTCGAGAGTGGTTGAGAGCTTCGTTATGGAACGCCTCTTTAAGTGTTTATCTTATTTTGACCTGAGGGTGGTGTACCTGCTTTGCACCAGCTCCCATGTTTTCTTGGCTCGCACACCACCTCTGCTCGGATTGGTGGAGCCAGCGGGTGTCAGAAGATAAATTCTTCGCCAAGTGAGCGACGAGTAACAGCGATCGCGAAGCAGAGTTGTCTCGCCATCTTCACCCATTTTGTGGATTCCTTGACCACCATCCAAACACCAATAGCAGAGTATATGTATAGTCTCATCCCAAATCTCAACCGTAGCTGCTTCCAAAGAATCTGTATCCACGGCTACAATCTACTTCGCTCCTCGTGGTTAACTTCAAATTCAAACCCATTGCGTTTGCCGCGTCCCAGACTGACACGACGACTCTGCACCTCCAGATGAATGGGCAATCGACGATCCCTAGGTCACGAGGTCCAACGTTCACCAGCGAAATCCCGCAGCTCCCGCCTTTGTCAACGGAATCTCGCTGAAAAATGTCGGTGTCGTTTGTCTCGCGTAGTCGCTGAGGCGAAATGAGGGGACAAGCTAACGGCGTAAACTTGGGAATATTATTTTCCCTTCCTTGACCGGCAGATTCATGTGCCACGCGGACGATTCTCAACCAGCCACCGAAATGGACTCTCGAATCTCCCTGTCATGGACAAAAATTAAGCCTGACCGAACCAACCATTCGCAGCCACCATCACTTTTCCTCGCGACCCAACGCAGCCGGTTAGCCTGTAGACCAATGCGGAACTTGATAGGGTTGCCGTGACGAAACACGCAGAAGGTCCGAACCTACGGCTGAGATCTGAGTTACCGAGAGAGTTTCAGTCAATCCAGTAATTCTGGACGGTAGATCTGAAGAGGGTTGGTGTAAGGAGAGGAGACAAGTTGGTGACCCCTCCGCCTCATTCCAGCGTCACCGTCGTCTCTCGCCTCATTCTCGCCTGAGCCTCGGATTTCACAGCGCTTTCGCCTCTTGCTCTCATTTTCTCACGCTCAGCTTCTTCTGCTCGTTTCCTTAGAGCTGCTGCGACTGCGGAAAGGCGAGCCGCTAGGAATATCGTTTTCTATTCAGGCCTGGCTTGATGTCGAAGCTGCGTTAACGGAAAGAGGAAATCGCGTGCTGGGAAGAGGAAATCGCGTGTCAGGAAGAGGAAATTGCGTGTCGGGAAGAGGAAATGGCGCGTTGGAAAGAGGAGATCGCATGTCAGGAGAGGAAATGGCGTGTCAGGAAGAGGAAATGGCGTTTCAGGAAGAGGAAATGGCGTGTGGTAGCCTGGAAACTTTGACTACGAAAGAAAAAGTGCGAGGATGGCGATTTTCGTATGGAAGGTACGCCTGAGTGCAACTGCGTTTTTCCACGTATCCGAGTCTTACCTTATTTAGTGGTGTACCACGCTTTCGTTTTAGCACACGCAAGATTGTTGAGTGGCGCGTCTGACGTATGACTGCATCCTGATTGCATGTCGCAGGTTTGTTGGAGAGGCGACATGTCACATGAACCACCAACGACATTTGCGATTTCGTAGAGTGCGTGCGATTTCGGGGAGTGCGTGCAACTGGCAGCTCAGGTATTGCGCGAACCCACAACCACTCATAAAGTCGATTTCGCGAATCAATTTCCCGCATGTCGCACGCACATAGTTGCTTTTCCGCTTCGCGTTTCAATCTTGATGAGCAGATTCGCCGATCGATTTCGTTCTTAGTTGTCGCGTTTCAGTTTCCCGTTTCAACTCTGCGATACTAGATCTCGAATTTCAATTTCGCGATCTAATTTCGCAGATCGATTTCGTATCACAGTATGTCGTTTCGCGAGCTGCTTCCCTGACGTACGTTTCCCAATCGATTTCGCAAATGGTTGTCGCCGCGTCTTTCCACCCACTGCAGGCCGCCGTGCGTCACGCCGTTGCCCACCCCCCCGAACGGGTGTCACGCTGGTGGGTACCGCGTTGAACCACTCTCGCGACCTGCAATTTCGGGCCACTCTCTTCCGTCACACGCGGCTGCTCTCCACCCACAGCTAAGCTAAGTACACCTCCCTGCCTCTCTCCTCTCAACCCTTGTTCCTGTGTTGGCTTTCATGCCTCGATTGCACTATACTGCACACTCCCTGTCTTACTGCCATGTGTCGCACTCAAAAGACCTCCCTCCCCCAAGGTAGGAAGGTAGCAGGTATGTGCTCAGGTATATGGTTTAGTGTGGTTCAGCTGGTACGAGGTCTCTTGGGTGTGCCACTGCAGCAGTCCATTCATGCTCGCATAATTTCTACTCACTCTGCTCTCACTTCACTCACTCGTCCTTGCTTCTTTCCTCACTTCCCTCCCCACTCCTAAATTCCCGTCCTCTCCTCCCTTCTCTCTGTCCTGATCTTCCACCTCTCGTCCCAGCAGGTCGCTCACACGGGAGTGGCAGTGGCGGGGGACATGGAGTGCACAGGCAGCAGCTGCTCTAAACCCTAAACCCGCTCACAGCTAAGCTAAGTACCTCGCCCTGCCTCTCTTCTCCCAACGCTCGTAATTGTGTTGGCTTTACATGCCTCGCTTGCATCATATATCAAACTCCCTCCCTCACTGCCCTTTGTCACACTCAAGAGACCTCCCTCCCCCAAGGTAGCAAGGTAGCAGGTAAGTGCCCAGGTATTAGGTTTAGTATGGTTTAGCTGGTATGAGGTCTCTTGGGTGTGCCACTGCAGCAGTCCATTCATGCTCGCTTATTTCATGCTTTCACGTCACTCACCTGTCCTTGCTTCTTTCCTCACTGTCCTCCCCCAACTCCTCAATTCCCGTCCTCTCCTCCCTCCTCTCTGCCCCAATCTTCCCCCTCTCGTCCCAGCAGGTCGCTCTCATGGGAGCAGCAGTGGCGGGGGACATGGACTGCACAGGCAGCTGCTGCTCTCCACCACATGCAGCTAAGTACCCGCACTGCCTCTTGCATTCATTTTCATTCCATTTCAGTCCTTGCTGCATCTCCTGCCGCTTGTGCATTCAAACGCAAGCCTCTGGTTGAGCCAAAGCTTCAAGCCACAGACCCCTTTTTCTTGGGAATTTCCTCCAGGTACTGCAGGTATTCTCTCAGGTCTGCAGGTAAGCCTCCCTAGGTGTGTACCTCTCTTGGGTCTGTGGCTTGTAGCTGAGGCTGCACCAGTGCCCCCCGTTTCTGCTCCCACATGCCATCTCATGCACCCCTCTCACATTTCTACCCCTAGCCGCTTACTCACTTCTCTTCAGTTCTCTCCTTGCCGGTTGAGGGGAGGGGCGTGGGGGTCAACACCGCCACTCCCTCATGCTCCTCCCCTGTGGCTGTGCAGGTTTGCAGCACTCCACTCCGCTGGGATGAGAAGGGAGAGTATCGGGATGGGTTGTCTGAAACAAGGTGAGCCTCATTTCCTGTTCCTGCCACACATGCTTGAATGTCTGTTGTTCCTTCGCTCACGCTGCTGCTTGGTTTTCTGCTCATTCTCACTTCCCTTGATGCTCCCTAACCTGCATTTACTCTTTTCTCCTTGCCCTTCACATCCCCGTCCTCTCTTCCCTCCCTTCCTCTCTCTGCTCCAGCCCTCTCATTGCAACCTCTCTTACTTTCGGCTGCCTTTTCTTTCCGCCCTGCCCTCCCTGCCCTCCCATCCCTTCCCTGCCAGGCCTTCACAAGCCAGGGGGAGGGCAGCAGGCGAGCAGCAGGCGAGGGGAGCACCAGGGCGGGCAGCAGGAGCGCGGGCAGCGGGGCAGCAGCGCCGGCCTCATCAACGGTTGAGGTTGCAGTATCGCCCCTGCCACCACACTCCACTCGAGCCCACTCCCCCTCA